GTCAAGTTTAAATTTGCAAACATAAAAATAAATTTTAAAAAACTCCAGCTTGTTTTTGACTATTACAACCAATCAAATTAGGCTTTAAAAGCATCAGGGAAAATCTAATTTGCCTAAAGAGCAAGGTACAATGAAAAAGTTTTATTTTTTATAAACATAGTTCTGTCAGTACGGTAAGACATTCAGGCAACTGATCGCTTGCTCTGTTTTTTTAGCTTAGATTTCCCATGAACAAGTATTTGCCCCTCTTCCTGTTTTAGTGACATAATAGCAATATTGAAAAACATGGCATGTCATCAGTAAAATATGTCAAAAAGAAAAGTATTAAATAGCATTGATTTTAATACAGTTAGATGGACAGGTATTACAGTTTTCTGAAAAAGAAAAGCCCTTCCCTCTCATTCATCCCGGGATAAGCTTACAGAGGATTCAGAAAGGTAAACACAATTCTAACTGCAAAGGAGACAGAGGGAAAAATATACAGAGCTGGATTTAGACGCATATATACCTTCCCACTATTACCTTTGATTCTGCATTAGAAACCATGCTCTGCATCCATGTACAGAGATTGAGCTATCTCACTGCTACTGCTTGTCCCAGAACAGGTAAAATTAGGCAGTAAATGGAAAAAGTAACAGAATACTACATGTATGAAATTTTGTTAAAATTGGATGTCAGCCTCATAAATTACATCTTTTTCTAAGGTGTTCAACTTTACTGCTTATTTCTTACTTTTTAATTAAACATATTTTTCTCTTCTGTCTTCTACAGGGGCTGGGAGAAGGGGAAGGGAAGAAGTTGTTCTACATTCATTTAAATTATTTGCAAGATTCACTGTAGCACTGCAGTCTTAATTAATCCACCAAATGCTGTTTTAATTCCAGTATACCCCAGGTGTAAAAAGGCCTCCACATTTGATTATATTTCTGAAAGACTTATAAATATAATGACATATTATTCTAAGTTACAGATTAGTTTTAAGCAACTGCTATATGAAAAAAAAGAAATATGTATGGCTATAAAGACATATTCCCATACTCCACTGAACAGTGTTCGTAATCCTGGTGTAAATGGTCCTAATCCTACTGAAGGGCCTTCTTGGAGAGATTTTGAGGCACAAGAGAAGCAGGTTTGAACCCTTTATTACTCCTGCTAGAGGTAAAGATGTTAAGTAAGATGGGCAGCAACAAATTGGCCTATGAGTTCATTACTTCTCTGTTTATTCAAATTCCTCTCATTTTTCACCGGTACTTTTGTACAGTGATACTCCAAACAATGAGTCAAGACTGATATCTAAGTTATTTTAAAATTTAATCAAATCAAATCACCAACAATCTCCATCTATGTCTGCTTATTGCAATCATCCCACCCCTGCACATCACCTTTCCTCAGGGCACAGTCCCTCATGCTTCCTCCCTCATAGTGCTGTTACACTATTTAGGAGCATAAACTCTCCAATTAATACCATGTCTTCTCCAACACAAAGAGTAATATTAGAGCAATTAGATGAATCATTAATAATCATAGAAATGCTATTCTAGAAAGCAGCATGCAAAAAGTCTGATACAATACTTGCTACTAGAAGAGAGCCACTTGCTAATAGTGTTTACTGAAGTGGGTATTTCCCCCATTCGTACTACCTTAGGAATCCTCTCCTTCCAACTTCCATCTGTCAAATACTTCAACAGATCTGTACAAAAGCTCATGTTTCAGACTGTGATTTTTCCAAGTCAAGTGGCAATCTCAGCAGATGTGACTATAAAAGACTACTGAGAAATTACTCAACTCCAATAGTTTAAAAAAAAGAAAAACAACCTGAAGAAAGAGATATTAATTCCTTATATTACTTGAAAACAGTACGATTAAGCCTTTGCATTCTGGAACAATGAAACTGCTTCTTTTTCTTTAGGAAGCAATAGGGAAGTAATATTTGTTGGTAGGCCCTCACGGGCTATAAACACAGCTAATTGTGCTTATACTTTAAAATGATACTTTTAAAAAGTACTATATTTTTTACTATAAAAACCTTATTCACAGGATAACTGTGTCTAGTTTTCAAATAATTGCTCTACGCAAATCTCGTCACCAGGTAGGTGTACTTTTGACAGCATATCAACTCTTTACATTCATTTGGATTAACTAATTAAATCACATTTTCTAATAATTTCAATAGAAAGTATGTTTACAATGTGTATGAATAGTCTCACAGCTGTTTTTTATCCCTTTTACCACCCTTCTGAAGTACTAACATGAAAAGATATACACTTTAGCAATATGCTCTGCTTGCACATATTGTTGGGCAACACTGTCGTCTCTCCACAACTGCCACTTGATATTCTCTACAAATATTCCACATATTGGATGTTTCAACTCTTCCCATCATGTATAGTACCATGGTATTGCCATATTGCTTGTAAACATGGTCTACAATCTTTTTCCTTTGTTGTTGATAGATAAGCTTGAATTTGGCTATATTAAAATATACATTGCTCAGGCTGAATAACAAGATTTTAGAAATGATATAAAATTTGTATCTTGACAGCATGATTTGTTTTTCAGTGAGACTTATTTTCCACCAGATACCATCTTCTTCATAAATACCATTTTTGATTACAGTAAAAAAATGTTTAGTTTTACTAACATGTCACATACACCATGTTAGGAAAATTTAAGATATGCTATGTAGACGTGTGTCCTGGAAAGAACATAAAGACCTAATACCCTTCACGTAATATAACTTCACCTACTAAATGAAAATGAAATGCTTGAAGATAGAAGAATACTTTGAGTAAATATAACCACAGCTTTTTCTGGGAAAACCAGGAAATTCTGTTTTCAGGCAAGCAGAGGTTAAAATTCCAGGACTCTCCATGCTACAGATTTAAAAGTGAAAGTGAGAGAAGAGAAACAGATCCTCTACAGAGAAGAGCTCAACAACTGATACACTGCCATGGCTGGGCAAGTCCAGCCCAAAGGTAAAGAAAAGTCTCTTACTTTCCTTGAGGGAGTGTATTTACAAAAACTGATACACAGTAGTTCAACTAGAACAAGAAACTGTGCCTTTGAAATCAGACGTGAGAAGAGTGGATCTTAAACACTGTTTTAAGCATAAGGAATTTTAACGCTTTCATATAATTTCTGGGATACAGATACTTAACTTCTGCTATAACTGGATAGTCTTTTCCTGAAGTGTGTTCCTGTACAACGTGCAGCATGGCACTATGACTCTTCTAAGACTATGTCGGAGGCACAATTTTTCCAGCCTACAACTGGAGTACATTTCAATATGGAATCTTAGCTAAAAATAACATTAGCTATGTATATTTAATGTTTGGATGAAAAAATGTCTATTTAAGGTACAGTCTGTTGTCTCTAAGATGTCAACAGTAAGTAATATTATTTGAAGTGGAATGTTTTATTTAATATTTAATAGCATGTATAATGAAACTAGTGGAAAAATATTGAAATTTCAGAAAAGTATGAAATGCCCATCATCATTTGACTGTTATTTTAGATTAGCGATAGCTGTTACCATGTATATAGCTAAGAATACATTACATGACTTAGCTTTACCAAGGAATTAAACAATATTCAAATATTTCAATATATTGTATGTTATAGACAGTGAACCTAAATTTCAACTTATTTGTGTCAATATGACCCAAAAAACTCCTGTGAAGTAATAATTTACATCAACATAAAGAGGATGCTTGATGAAAATCAAGTCCAGAATGTTCCAGTCAGTTCTCTTTCAGAAGCTAGTGTAGTAATCATTTAGCTCGGAGTCAGAAATTGCATTTTTTACTCTACCAGCCAAGTTTCAGGTTCATCACAAATGAAATCCTGCTACTGATTTGATTATCCAAATAAGGACTTTTTTTCCTGAAGAGATGAGTCAGAGGTCAAAGAGGTTGAAACTTACACTATTTTCTGATCATTTTTAACATACAAAGACAGCAAAACAATGGCCTTTTATGATAAAACATAAACGCAAAGCTAAATCCAATTCACGTTAACTTACTAAAAAATAAATTCTTACATGTTCTACTACCTAGTATAGCATCCACATAGGAAACTGATGTTACAGTGGGCCTTTTACAAAATAATTCAGTACTTACCTAAGTAGCACCTGTTAATAAATGATCACTAGCAAAGGAGAACACTTCATAAGACCCACAATATCCCTTTTTTGATGGGTTAATTATAATTCCATCAACACCTAAAAGTTGTACTGGGTCTATGCACACAAGTTAGGGTCACAGGAAGAAATTCAAATGACCAAGTACAAATCTGACTGCTTGCTTGTAGTGTCCGAGTGCAAACAGTGGTCTTTTAAGTATCTTTTTTCCCCAAGATATATTTATTATTTAGAATCCATAAACATTAAATAACCAGGTGATCACTCAGAAGTAAATATTTACTTTTTTTAAAAAAAGGTAAGAGCCCATTTACAAATTCCTGGATAGAACATTACATACTGATATCAGTTTATTTAAGAACTGGCTCTTGTCCCACAGGCATTCATGCAACAAGTTAATTGAGGTACAGAGACTTATATATCATGAATTCTTAAGTTACTTTAAACTTACTCTAGACTAAACAAGGCATCTGACTTAGGTATGTGAAATCCACCCCCATAAAAATGTGTCTGTCTCAATCAGCTACTGAATTTAGACTGTTAATGTCAGGGGTTTGAATTTAATCTAAAGGAAACACTGTAAATACCTCAAACCTATAATTTTTATAAACTTATTTTGGTTTTGACGCTCTTTTTATAAAGATGTCTTTTTTATATAATTAGTGACACCCACTTATCTACATTTATTTTACCTTCTGATGCTCTACACTACATTTTAATTAAAAAGAAGCACAAAGGTGACAAAAAAATGTTTTCTAGCAGCCTTCATTTTATTTTTTCAGTTTGATACTATCTGTCCAGTTAGACTTCTAGAAAACAAAATTTAAGGAAATTATACAATTATATAATCATATGTTTTGGTTTAGAGTTTAATAGCAGCTCTCAGCTTGGCTGACCTTCCTCTTGGGTTTGTTTGAATATCCTTGGCCTGGGGTGTGAGAACTTTTTTCTGTATAAACATCCACTTTGAGTTGGATTTTCCAGAGGGAAATGCTTGTGTATCTTCTTTTTTGGAGCAATTTTTCAGAGCCTGTCTTATCTTCTGCCTTGAGCCAAGATTGTACTTTTCTGCCATGTCTATTCCATGAAGAAAACGTTTGATAATACGATCTTCCAGTGAATGAAAGGAGAGGGCTACAAGGCGACCTCCAGGTTTTAGAAACTTCTCAGCTGTCTTCAGCCCTATAAGGAGTTCATGGAGCTCATCATTTACAAATATTCGCAGGCCTTGAAAAGTTTTGGTAGCAACATGCGTAGGTCTCTGAAGCAAGTCTTTTCGTGCATACAGTGCTGATGCTGGAAAAGCACCTGTCAAATTTTAAAAGGTGTATGTTAATATCATATTATTTCTACATTGCTATCCTGACATTAATCCACTTGTGCATGATGACTTTAAAGGAAAGCATACTTACAACTGAACCCTGAGTAGTGAGCTTTCTTCTTTATAATATATCTTTATTTTCTGCTTTGAATTCACACTTCTGAAAGTAAACCCTATTAAACTGAGCTTGCTGGCACTTGAGTGTTGTTTTTTTTTCCTAGAACCTTTCAGAGAAATTCCTTCCCCAAATGTTTCACAAAGTTACAATACAAAATGATGGCTGAAACAAAGATAGGGAAAAAATGAAGATGGGATAGATAAGTCTCATTTTACAGCTCAGTGTAGTCAATGTCAGTTCAGTATTTGTGGTGGCTTGTTTTATGGTTCTAAGGCAAAAAAAAAATACGATGGACACAATTTTAACTGTTGCCTTCTAGATAATTATGCATTTCTTCACAGGCAGAGATAAGATGAATACAACGTCTACCTGGTGATAAGTATCTGTCAATGAATTACTTAAAGCATAAAAGAGGCATCCTTGTTTGTGGATAAAAGTTGCTAACCACTACACCTGTGTTTCTTCAAGTGTTCACAAAAATACCTTGAGAAATTTAGAAAATGAAGCTGACACTGCTGTTTTTTTCACATGTCTATATAGCAGAACATGTCAAGGTATGAGTTTGTTGGATGAAAAATCACCAGATTAAATAATTTTTACTAGATGCACAAAACTCCCTCTTCCTTTCTCCAAAATTCTTATGAGTTATAGAAGTCTCTGTAGAGACTAAAATTTTGATAGAAACTTTAATATATCATTATTTAATGTATTTTAGGCTTGAATCTTCATTATCTGAGTGTAGAGCAAAAAGCTAGAGAAGCCAGATTGGATGGATCAAAAGGACTGAAGTGCAAGAGTCTTACAAGACCTGTGAAACCTGAGTAAACTTATGATCTATTATGTAAGCGAACGCAGGAGTCTTGTAAAGATAAATTGAATGAATAATGCTAGTGCGTAACTGCAAAGAATTATTTTTCCAAACAAGAGGGCCCATTAGAGATAAGGCAATTCAGCTGGTATGTATGTATTAAAATGCCTTAATTCCATGCCAGTGCTAAACTATAACATAATAAAAGAATGGGTTTGAAGTAAATGCAGTTCATAATCAAGTAATTGATGTTCTATATAGTGGAGTAAAAGAAGGGAACATGGTACCTCTGAAACAAGTTGACTAAATTCACAGGTGATTGAAAAAAAATTTAATAGAGATATCATAATCCAGTACTTACAAAATAATTTATTAGTGGAATTCTCGAGAGTTTTAAAGGTAAGATTTTACTTATGTCAGAAAACGTAAGTGTTTGGCATCACAAACACACAAGCGATCATCAGTGTTCAGCAAAGGGAGAGGCCAATAATGGGATTTAAAAATTCAATCATTATAAACAAAGTTATTATCATGTATGCGATGTATCTAAGATGCATTTCTGCATACTCAATTTCCCCAACTACATTCCCTACCTCCTCTGACTCTAATGCTAACAGCTTGTGAATTAACCGAAGAGACCCATTGTAGCTGTGGCTGTTTCCTATTCCTATAGTCTGAATCCTTCGAGACAGAAAGTGGCAACAGGATCAACTTCTCCCAACAAACACTACTGCACAGGAATTTGTGGCTTTAAACTCTGTTTCACAAAACAGAGTAAATAGATTTAACCTGTGGGAGCTAGGCTCCTTCATCACTTATGAGCTCTAGAAAAAGTTACACTAGCTAGCTAATATCATTTCTGTCTTTGAGAACACCACATTCTATGCTTTCTATAAATCATAAAAAGAATATATGCCCTCACTGTAGGAGTCACAAAGCCTGTTTTGACGAAAGAGCTGAACTAAAAGAACTCAAAATTGCAGAGGTAAGATGTCCCAAGAAACCAACTGACACCAAGCTTGTACTCCCTGGCACAGTATCTGTTTCCATATTTCTTTACATACCTAAAAATAGATTCTTTGAAAATGGAATCCTTAAAAAGCCATTGACTGCCATTTGTGTGTGAAGAAAACTGTCTCTTAATGCGTAACATAAAGGAATACAGTGCTGAGCAAAACACTTTTCTTTAAATGGTCAACTAAAAGCTACAAACACTAGTAGTATGCTCAGAAACCTTCAATAGTTATTAAATGAAACAGCAGGGTTTAAAATCAGCATGTAATGTATCCAAAACCACCATAGGACATGCATGTTTCCATAGCATGCACTAAGTGACTAAATATACATAGCTTGCTATTCTCCATAAGACCCGTCTTAGGTTTCAGTCACAATAGCATTTTTCTTCAATGGAATTTGAAGTTGAAACATCAGATACCTGGGTATCTTTCGAATTCAATTAAAGAAGCCATGGTCTCTCAAATAAGAAAATACTGGTTTTGTAAAAGATCTCACACAACAGATGTATCTCTCTTTCTAAGCCTACTTTCAAAACCATTGAAAACATACCTCACTCTTCCCCTCTCCCTCTTCCAAAACCAAGCCCACTGCTGCCATGTTCACTCTATGAAAACAGTTGTAACTGGAATGAGAAAGCACTGTTTCCTTACAAAATATTAGCTTTTAACAAGCTAGCGGGTTAGAAAACAGGGTACATTTTATCGGTTCTACCTATATTGTTCCTGCCCCTTGCTGAAAAATTTACAGCTGTGACTTGAAGAGCATCGGCTTTTATACTTTCAATTTTGGGCTGTTACTACCCAGAGCTGGTGTTCACCTCTCAAAGCAGAGCCAGAATTTTTAACTATCATATTTTAGCAGTCTAAGTATTCTCTAAAAATACTGCTGGTTTTCTGGGATGATCCATTTCTGACATTCTAAGAGTATTTCCGCTTCCAAAACTATCACAGATAAAAATGAAGCCAACCCACAAGAGTACAGCATGTAATTTAGGTACAAAACTGACTGTGCTTCTTGATTGGGACCTAACCATAAAAACAAAGCCTAGAATGAGATCCTTTGTTTAAATTTCCACAGCCAATCTCACTGGAATTTTAGTAAAATACTGGGAGTTTTATCTCCTATGTCACCAAAATATCTTTTACTTATCTGAAAAAACAAGAATGATATAAAGATCTACTTTAAAACCAGTTTTGTAAAAATCTAAATAGACATGACATGCTGATACCTGGCCAGATTTTTAGTAGTCTGATCAAAAACACTGCTATTTTGCAATTGCAATACTGAATAGATAAACAAAAGAAATGTGATACCCAGGCTACCAGCATGACTAGGACACTAACAGGTCTTTGGAAGGTTCTTCCATTTGTCCCACCATGCTTGTTGAGTACAGTGTCTTCCTACAATGACGATTAAATATGACACTAATTTATTCCTGTGAATTAATTTATCACACACTGAAAAAAAAAAAAAAGAAATTAAACCCCAGATATGTTCTGTTAGTATAATACAACCTTACATGCCTGAGGAACGTGCACAAACAGTACTGCAGGTCATATATAACGGTACGGAATACTAATATTCAGGAAACTGGTAAAGAAATGCAGCCACTTTGCAGCTTTATGCAACCAAGACCCCCCAAACTAAAACAAAAATCAAACTACTTCCAAGTTCAAAGACTTATTGGTCTGTCTTCAGAGACTGGGATAAACTAATAAATGTCATCTGTGGTAGTGACTTCTGTCACGCTGACCTTCATCTTTTTAGTAAAGGCAGTAGATTTTGATCTATGTTCCAGGGGTGAAAAAATTTTCCTACCCCACTCTTAGTCCTCTGGTATAGTTAAATAAAAACCTATTTGTGCTTTCTGCTAAGGCACAAAATCTCTCACCCAGCCCCCTCCAATTACCATGACACTAAAAGAAAATCCTTCCTGGTAACAGGCTGTACAATGTACAAAAATATAAAAGAATCTGTATGAGAAGCTTGTAAAATGAATTTCATTCATAAAAACACCACGCTTCTGGCTAGATGACTAGTTTGAAATCCCAGTGAGAGAAATTATCATTTTAAGTTTTGGGATGCCCTGATGCTACTTACACTTTTAAAAATCTAATAGATTCACATGTTGAAATGTATTGAAATTTTAAGGCTTGTGAATGAAATTAGCAACGTGCTGTGCCTGTCAATATGAACTATTAAAGTCCCCAGAGTGTATGAGAGTGGGAGAGTTTAAAAATTAATTCAGATTGTGCACCTGTTTGCAGGAATCCGTCTGTTGAATTAGCATTGCATTTAATAAGTTTCTGTGACGCAACTAATGTCCTTTTGTCTAGGCTCCCTCAGTACAGTGTTAATTCTCACCCATCTGAAATTCAGGCAATATTACAAATTCCAAACTGATAATTAAAGTCTATAAATGTGAACCAATCTGAATGAGACTGGCTTTAATCATTAAAGTTCTTTTTAAAGTTTTCAAAATTTCTTTAGTATCTCATCACCAATTCCTTTCAAGTTAAGTCCAAATGACTACATGATCTCAAAATGATCTAATAGATCTAATAGATTATGTACCTAAATAACACTGAGAAAAACTGAAATTTGAACAAAAACTAAGAGATAACAAGGTATGTTACCCACTGAAAAGAAATAAAAATAGATCATCAGTTTTATGGAAAAAGCATATTAAAATTACATTCTAAAAATTTCACTATTTTTAACCAGTTTTCCTGCACATCGCGTTAAACCTATTGTTTCCAAACAAGTCAATGAGCTACAGCCAAAGCCATCAGGAAGTGCTGCTTAATCAATTTCCACACATCTAGTCACAGACCTTCAGCTGAGAACTCCTGATCTTTAGTATTTACAGAGCGTTCATCATTGCAGATAGCTGTGTGAAAATTATAAACAGTGAGCAGAGTTCGATTGTGCTGCAAGAAGAGATGATGTTCACATGACTGAACAGAAAACTCCTCCTCTTTCCCATGTAAACTGCAGACTCCATAGCTCACAGAGATCTCCTTATTGAAATGGATCAGAATTCATTGCCACAGTATGTAGAGAGATTAACTTTCAAGCTCTACGTCAAGAAATAGAAGGAATTATTTTCTCAAATTGGAACAAAGGAGAGCAAGAAATCACTGGGCTACCTGAGTTAGCCCCAAGCTGTTGTAGGCAATCTTGACATACAAATCTATATATTTTTTTCCAGCTATACCTTAAAATTATAACTGTTGCTAATACAAACTTTAGAAATGTCTGATTGTTCTGTAACTGTTGTGGAGCCATTTTGTTTGTTCATTTTTTAATTACATCCTTCACTTTCCTCTCCCAATCAATTAGCAACACCAATACACATTCTAACCTTTTTGGGGGGTGGTACGGAAGACCAGCAGTCTAGCATTCTATAAATAGAAATGGAATTTTCCAGTTTCAGGCTAGTCCAAATCTAGATTCCCTGGGATTCTGGTTATCAGCTGGACCTTAACACAAAACGTTGGAGTTCTAGAAAATCTAAAGCCATAGTAATCTATAACATGTGAAAGAAACATGGACTATACATGAATTCTCAGATACTGACACCAGCAGAGAAAGAGAAATAAATACCCAGCCTCATTGGATAAATTTTTGCCTGTTTTCTGGCTCCTATACTAGGCAAAAAAAAATGATCCTGTTCTGGAGAGATAATCATGCTTGTATAGAGTCTGCAAAATCTAAAATGCAAGATTTTATTATTCTAATTAATATTTTATGTTTTAAAGGACTTGACATTTAACTAATAGGTCATAGATTTTACTCTGGTGAAGTCCTGAATTAGTCAAGGGTTTTTTGTGCTGTGCCACCAAGAGGATCCTGTAGCTGTGGTCTCTGGCACTTTAGCTCTGGCTTACCTCAATAACTTCATGGATATCATTTTGCATAAGAATATATATTGATGATAGATGATAAATTAAACAAAAATATATTATAGTTACCAGAAATTTTCTTAAGGTATAATCAGTTCAAAAACTAGTAGGATCCACCATTGTGCTCCTTTACTGGAGGAATCAAATTAAAATTGGAAGAAGTTGTAACCAAGCAGAGATCAGTGTAACAGTCCTAAAATTGTTTTAACTGCTTGCGTATGTCAAAAAAAGAACACAAAACACATATTTACTGTCTTGGCAGATATGTGCTGGATTCATTGTCTTTGGCATGTATGCTATCTGATGCATACCTGATTCATGTATCAAGCTGCTCTTCAAATACAGCAGAGAGTTTAAACTAAGAACAAAAAGTCCTTCTCATTGTCACAGAAAGTGACCATTAAGTGATGATTCACATGCAACACGAAACATGAAGGGATTTCAACCACTGTCTTATGAACAGTATTTTTATTTTCTTAGATTAAGCTAGTGCACAATACTATTTCAGAAGTTACTGAATTGCTTGTTTACAGGCTATAACACATTACATCTTTAGCACAGCAATATGGTTGCTTCAGTCTCAATAATGGTACACTGTTCTAGTCAACGGATTTTCAAAAAGCATGAGATGCATGTGACAAAAACCTAAATTATTAGGTCGTGATGTTGATGACAATGACTACATTAAAAATGCAACTCTTCAAGTTTTATAAAAGACTTACAGTGTTTTATCTCTTTGGGGTTTTAAGATTGATTGTTCCTCACATTCACTATATTTACAGCAGGGGCTTACAACAGCAAGGAGTGTCTTCAGGTCCTCTAATCATTATCAGCTAAACTTTGGGCATTGGTTGACTGGATGTTTTGCTTATGTGTCCTGACTTATACAAATCCAAACCTTTTAATTTGTTTGCCAGTCATTAAAAGTAAGTCCCTTAAACTTCCAGTTTAAGTAATTTTTTCATTTTTATGAATACAATATATTTTTTAAAAGTCTTCAGGTTACTGATACGTTTAACACTATTCTTTAGCAAATGTTAAATTTGGGTAGCCATTTTAAAGGTCTATATTCAAAGGAGTCAACAGTTTAGACTTATTTGTAACAAGACCAGTAATTGTCATTTCTTGGTTAAAAAAAAATAAAAATATTCCAACATTACATATTATAATGTTAATGAACAGGATTTGTCTCTTACATTTTTCCTTGAAAATTTTCACTTGAGAATACAAACATGAAGGTTCTTGATGTGATCACAGTTCCTGCCTAACTACATTTTGTTCAAGTTGTTTACAGTGAAGAGCAAGTAAGATGAAGTGTTTCAATAGTTGCTTCAGGCTGATCTAGTTGGCATTCACAAGGTGAGAGCAAGCTATGTATTGCTTTACTTTTTGCTTCCTGGTTCTTTAAGCAGACAGAAATGATCTGATTTCATCCATAATTGGAAACTGCCATGGTACTTCCACTCAAAATATTAAAATGTAGACATTTAAAACTAAGAGGTATATGACGTATCTGATATTTGAAGGCTTATCAATAGCTAGGATAAAGAATTCCCTAGGCTGCTGTGGTTCTGTGTTTCAACTTGGTTTGCAAAATGATAAATCACTTCATGTAAAATCTATTATTAAACTAATCGTCAAACTACAATATAAAAAGTGGGACCTTAAAAAAGAAAGAGCTGACATCAGAGCAGAATAGGCAGGATTAGATCCTGCATGATTTCAAGTACAAATAGATCCCTCTGGGACTTTGGGGATTAATATTTTTTCTCCTCAGCCACTGTGAAGAATTAATGAGGGTACCTGCAACAATGCTTGCAAGCTGCTGAGTTCTGGTGATGGGGTATATGCTGCGTGCCTGAACGATGGCTGAAGCGATTTTCTTGGCGTGCCTCTCCTCCCCGTATGTTCTCAGGATGGACGCAAGCGCCTGTTGATCTAAAGCATTCACAACATCAGCAGCAGTGGGCATGTCAGGGTACCTACGCACAAGAAGAGCCAATTAGTTCACTGACGTCAGTTTTCATTGACAAGAGGTGAAGCTTCATCGCATTGAGACATAAAGTCAAACTCACACACTGCATACAAGTGCCTTTGAGGTTTTCAAATAAGAGACAGCAACCCCATGAAAACAGATATAGCTTGCATCTTTTAAATCCTTTTTCTTGCTACTTTAAATGGAGTTTGTTCCTTAGCATCAATTAGAACAGCTGAAACTTCCAAGTATCATCATAAACTATGCTTAATGAGTTGACAAGTATAAACACATTTCAGTACCATGTTAAAATGGAAATGCTGTGTGACTTTTTATTTAGCCAGCTTTAGAATACACACTTGCCCCTTATGAGTTCATTTTAGTCACCTTGCATTATATGTTGTTTTCTAGTCTGAACTGATTTCAAGGATCTTTTCTTTCACAACTCCTGCTATGAAAACAATTGCTCATGAATATAATTTAACTTTACTTACACTAAAAGGCATAAGAATTTATATCCAAATACTGTTTTGAGAGAATAGAAATGACCTAATATTACAAATGACAGGAATTATTACAATATAAACAGTAAAAGCCATACATTTATTTTTTTTAAATCTCTGTCACTTTGCTATTGAAATAGTTCAAGGTATTTTATGAACATCATTTATGGGTTTACTAATCGGAGAAAATATACAGCCTACTTAATAAATTGTCTTCTACAAAGACATGAATGTGCAGAATATTTTTCAGGCATTTATTACTCTCCTGCAGTATCTTACAAAAGATAACAAAACTTAGAAATCAGAGGCAAGTAGTATCATAGCAACAACCGTAGTGTAAGGCTTTTGATATGCCACAGGTATCCTTTGTTCTTATGCTCCTGTTCCATGTATGTATTCTCACGATGCAAATATAAGCCTGGAGTTCAGATTCTTGAAATCTGAGGGCCGAATCCCAGGAGGATCACGTGAGCTTTTTACACAAAACTAGAAAAAGCAAGTATCACGAAATTTGCTGTGTTAAGACTTAACATTAATGTGTTAAGATGATTCCTTAGAAACTGAGGCTTTCCATCAGCTCTGTCAGCAATGAAAGATCAAATTACATTTCTTAAGACTACAGGTTCATCAAAACACAAAGGAAAAATTTTCACTCTCCCAGTAACGCATTATGCAATTACTGCCATCATCTATACAACAGAGACCTTTGGTTGTTCATGTAAAAAGCACAATGCTACAGAAATATATTAGGTTGTTTGAAGATTAAAATTGCTACATAAGTAGAAATTATTATTCCACCATTGATTTTCATGGTCTTGAATGTACTAAACACCAATTCTAATAATTTAAATAGAGGTGATTTATTTAGTAATTGTTAATTGGACAATTAAGTAAGCCTGATGTGCCTCCTACACAATGTGAAAGGAAGCTTATAATATTGCTAAGGAAAGCTTACAGGCATGGAAAACAATATTATACTAGTGTGTTAAAAGCAATGTTGCTATCTGATTTCAATTGGCTGATATTATGGATAGGATTTTATTTATTTATTTTATATTACATTCCTTTTAGAGAGAAGTAACTGGGTCAGATGGCCATTGCAGAAAACAGGGAGGTTGCTCCTTTCCTGAGGGAGCAACTGAACATGCTCAAGTGAAGGTTCCACAAATAGTAAGTGTGGCAGAAAAGGAAAGGGACTGCAGTAAGGGGTTGTGAGACTGCAGATCAAGTACAGTCTGAGAAACTGCAGAAATAACAGGGAGTGAAAGTGAGATGCCCCTGTGACTCTATACCATACACTCCAAAAATGTAAAATTTTAGTGGTATAGTTAACAAAAATGTTACTGGTTTAATTACTCATCACTAGAACTTTCCTCTTATTTCAAAGAAGGAAAAGACGATAACCAGGGTTTTAAATATTGAGATCGAAAAAAGCTTTGTGACAAAAGACAGACCGTATACTCATGCAAAACTAGATGTGGTTTGATGATGAGAATTCTTCAATTTAAGGGGAAATGAGACACACGGGGGTTGCTGAGCACACAGTTTTCGGGTTTCAAGGAGAACTATTTTATTAACAGGTACCTGTCACTATCCATCCTCATGTCCAAAGGTCCGTCCTTCTGCAGGGAAAAACCTCTTTCAGGTGTATCAAATTGCATAGAAGAACAGCCAGCATCCAAAAGAACTCCATCTAGAGTCCCTGGCTCAACTCCAGAGGAGATTAACAAAGTCTCTGACTGGCTAAACTGTCCTAGAAGAGCTTGAATCTGTTTTCTGTAAGAAAATAACAAATAAATAGCCTCAATTTTAATTATAACAGTGCAATGTCTTCCCCTTGTATAGCAGGAATTAGATAGTAGCACTCACTTGTCTCAGAAGCAATAGGGCTATTCCCAAAGTAATAGTTTAAGTACTTTTCATATGTCAATATTTAAAACTGGTCCAACCCACCCATCAGTGGTTACTTAAGCTTCTTTAACTCTTTACTCCCTTCCTGCTTGATCTCAAAGAAATGGAAACCTGACTAAAATTTCATTTTTTCAACATGCAGGAGCTCAAAGGGACACCTTTCACATGCAGCAAGTGCACTGAGC